ACAAGTTGAAGACCTGGGCAGAGGTGCCCGAGGATTCGCTCGTGCTGGGAGCGAGGCCAAGGGAAGCCGCCAAAATGCGCTCGGTAAAGCTTGTCTACCAACAGAACATTTTATAACCTTCCTGTGTATCTGCGATTTAAAACTGACTAGTTTCATAAGTCTGATCCGCCGGGCTGTGGTACCGATGATCCTCTCCATAACGTTTACAGTAGTGAGACCTCTAAATAGCAGTGCTAGAAGGGTCCCCAATTGGTTTACAATATTAAGTCAAACTTACCTCTATCCTCTACTTACCAAATAGTGATACAAAATCCAGAAATATCGTTATTTAGAGTTTGTTAATCATGGACATTGGCTTTTTCATTTAGGTCTATTGAAGTACGCCAGCAATGGCATTTGCTGGTTGCGTGCGTCCTCGCTTCTTAACGAGTTTCTCCTATAAAGCATTTTTGCATCACTCGAAGCTCACGCACGGCACTTGGCGGAAATCCCATCGAATCCCTATGGTTGAATAGCTTTGCCATCCACTTTTGCCAACGTCAAGTCCAGCCGGGGGTCGCTGCGCCGTCCACCGCGCGTCCGTCCTCGTTCGTTTGTGCGTCACGGGTGCCTTGGAAAATGAACTCGTATTGACTGAGCTATGCAAGTGTGAATATCCGGAACCTCCAGCTCAACAGGAATCTAAAAATGGCACAACTGTAGGTAGTGGTGATCAGTAAGGAGAGGCTTTGGATTGGATATATTAATAATAGCTACTGCTAAACAGGGGTTGATGGAAGCTCCAAAATTGGTGAAGTTAATATTAAAAATATCACCTAATATTTTCTTCTTGGGCAAAATGATATTACTAAATATCTGTTTAATATTTGCTAAAACGATATTATATTTTCAAAGATTGCGCAATTGCTTTTAATTCACCAATCATATGTCGTTAAAGTTTGACTAGCTGAAGTATTACTAATAAGCAGTGAGGGAAATGGAGGGACAATTGGGAGAGAGACGTGTGGTGAATTGAGAGAAAATATGTTCAGCACAGTAAGTATTCTGACAAACACAGTAAGATCCATTTTAGCACACGAACAAGGAATGGCCATGGTCTGTCTCGACTCGAGACTCTCAAGCCGCACTGCAAAATGCAAAACGGAACGTTCCAAGAATTGTCTTTGTGATTGGTGGCTTGGGCCTGCAAATTGCCAAACGGCGGAGCAAAATTGGGCACGAAGAAGCTGTCGCTCCGGAGAGACTGTGGCGGAAGGCCAGGGAGGCCAAAGTGGCTAGCACCACTGCAGACGCCGGGTGTCCGTGCCACTAGTGCACTTACTGCTGGTCTGCAGCGCTGGTAGTAATATGAGGATGCTGTGGAGCAGTCGGTACACCGGGTAAGTGGCTGCCACCATTGATACCCGGTGGCGAGCCTACTGCTGATTAAAACTGGGGCGTCTGCGCTGCGATGAAGACATAGCCACTGCCGCTCCGCTGGAATTGAAGGCGCAAGCGTGAGGGCTAACATGAAAGATGCAAAACCGCTGGTGGTAGCGGCGTAGTTGCATCACAGAAGACACTGCGTACGGCTACCGCCTTGGAAATACTATGGATGCTGCTGGTGCGGGTTAAAAGGCTGTCGCTATTGAAGATACTGTGAGATGCTATAGGTGAGTCGTGGCTGCTGCGAGATACGCCTTAGAGTTATGCTGAAGAATACGCCACCATTTCGCTGCCACTATCTGGCGCAGGTGCTACATGAATGCGGCACTGAGGACACGACCAAGCGGTAGTGCCGGGCCGGCACTGCCGGTTTCTGACCGCAACCACTATGCAGTATATACGACAAGTTGGTGACGCTAGTGACGCGTCCACAAGTATGTGCAGCTACAAACTGCTATACAGTAGCCAGATACGATGTTGGAAATAGTTTAGGTGACTCAAGAAGTATGTATTTCTGCGCGTCGCTTACTCGCACTGCAGAGCATGTCCTGCATGCCTCGGACGTCCTACAGTTTGTGCAACAATTTGGTGATCTTCAATATCCAAGCCTCGTTTTCTGCTGCGATTTACCATGAGACGCTCGCCTTATCCGTCGACGTAATTGCGGCACTGCAGTGCAATTGAAGATGCACGCAGTCTCTCATCTTGAAGTGGTACCGACATGGACAATGTAGTGCATCCAAGTTGACAGGCCATCCTGTGCTCGGCTGTCCCTCTATCTCCATCCTGGCGTAGTTCACAGAGAACTGAGCTGCAACATCGAGCGCTTCTTCAGATCGGCCTCGCGACGGGATGTAGAAGCGCTGTGGAGGCGTAGCAAGCACACGAAGGATGTTACTGCTCGCATTGTCCACCAGAAAACTGATACTGCTCCAGCTGAACGTGTGTTCCGTCAGATAACCACCACGTCGAAGTGCTGTTGTTCGTGCAACCAGGCGCTTGTCCGATAAACGTCTAGGCGCAAACTCTGTCGGTGCCATGGACCGATGACTGCAACAGTACTGCATCTGTTGAAGCAAAACGGCAAGCTTCAGCTTGCGCTTTTGCGTGTAGTCACGCTTGAAAGCTCGGTTAAAGGTTTCGCACGGATTGTTTGTTGATGCGAAGCCTGGTGGTGTAAAATAAACCTGCCACTTACAGAAGTTTCCTTGCAGCCATTGCTTCTCCATGTACACACGAAACGTGTCCAGCTCCGAATGCGTTCTCCAATCCACCAAGACTTTCATTTTTCGTGCCAAAAAATCTTCCTTATTTGCAGCAAAGTGAAGATCATAAATCCCACGAAACACTTCAGCAGCCAGATCCCCATGCAGTCTGTTAGTGCGCTCCTTTAGGGCAAGCTGACCTTAGCTACGACATGATAATAGCACATAAGAGATATGTACTCACCAGCAGCACCAAAAACGGTCTTAATACCGTTAAATTGGGCTTTGTCTGCGTCGCCCATAATATACTGAGCATTCAGTCGCTTGCCAACTACTTTGGTGTAGATTGTCTGCAGTCCTGACAAGGCATCCGTGTAGTGACGTTCTTCCAGCTGCGATGTAATAAAGAGAGCCATTAAGTGGAACTGTCTTGCGCCATCAGACATGCCGCATACAATCACAGGGTAGCTAGTCTGCGCTAGCTGGAACGTCGCGTCGATGTGGAGAACGAATGAGGCCGGATCTCGGTCAGCAGAGCGCAACAGTGACTTTGTCGTCACACCCACAACAAAAGGGTGGGTGTCAGATCCATCACCAACAACGGGCTTGCCGAACCCGTCTGTTCTAGCGGTAAACGTGAAAGCATCATGCTCCGCCTCGCGGCCGCTGTACGCCGCGGCGGCTACACGTGATGAAGCTCTCCGTAGCGGTCACTTCCACCTAATTCTGTGCGGCGGTAGTGGTTCACAGCATTTTGAACTTTGCGTAGCTCTGGCAGCTCTTGTAGAGTCTTCCCAAGCTTCCGTGTCATGGCATGCAAGATACGGAGAGGGGTAAGGTTTTCTCTGGTTAACTCTTGGATGTATGCCTTTTGCAAACGTGTGACTTTCGGCTTCTGGCGTGGATTCGCCGGTGAAAAATGTTCGCCGAGCTCAAAGAGCGTTACCGCGTTCAACGCTAAACAAGTAACCTTCTTTCCACGCCATTGACACTTTGCAAACGGCGCCACAGCCTTACACTGCGCGCATTCGCACGACAGGAGCTTGTAGCGTATTGAGTGGGGAGTAGAAGACGCACACAAGGTGCACGACATCAGCTGGCTCTTCGCTGCTGTGAACGCCTTCATACTCTGCAGCAGCATGTCAGCATCGGCTTCGGTCAAGTCACAGGCGAGTAAGTTCCAGTCGTGGGTGCGTGGCATGGTGTCGGGCCTGGGGAGGGGGGGGGGCTTCTGTTTGAGGGTGAAAGCTAAAGTGATTGAGTGGTGTTGGCAGAGATGTTGATATTGTGCACGCCATGTAGTTTTGTGTGAATTTTCTCAAAGCATTGTGTTTTCCAAATGTGTTTTGTGTTCTTCCACATTATTGTGTGCTCTCCGTATGTTTGCTGTGAAAACCTGTACTTGATGTGTTTTTCAGACATTTGTGGTGCTGCTCACGCTTCGTCGTGAATTGGCACTGCAGAGCGCACTATTAATAATCTAGCGTCACAGGCTGCAATTTTTTTAAGACTCACGATGTGGACGAGGCTATCGGTAGAGAACAAGAATAAATACCTTGATTTCGCTCTATCGACTTTAAACAGCTGCAAGCGTTTGCAGTTTTCCATCTCGATCGCCTTTGTCTGTGTCAAAGTGAAATACTAGAGCAATTACTCATCAGTCTTTAAGCCTAGTGCTGTTCAAGAATACTGACTGAAAGAGTTCTTTTGTGAGCCCTCTGTTCACTCAGCAGAGGGTAAGGTGGCAAGAAACGTACTTAAATGGCAACATATCATAAATTTCATATCGTTTCTAATATTTTTCAAATCTCAAAGCTAATATTATGATAGTGGTTTGCTTTTAAAATTTTGAGCTACTACTAATATTTTATTTTGATAATAGTATTATTATGATCAAAAAGAGCATTTGATATTTGGTTACCATTAGCCTCTGGCTATAATATAAACTCCACTGCTAATTAGTTATATATCAGCTAGTCAAACTTTAACGACATACATCAATGATTAGCGGATTAATACCTTTTACAAAAATCTATAAAATTAAATTATGGTTTTAAGTAATATTAAGTAGACATTTAATAATACCATTTTGTCCAAGATTAAAAAATTAGGTACAATTTTTATATTAGCCGGTCTTCCAGGAGATATTATCACTATTTTAACTTCACCGATTTTGGAAAGGTATAAATAGGTATTATTAATAATAGTACCTATAGGTACTGGATAGATCATTTTATGAAGCTTATATTCACCGGTAGCTGTTTTTGATACACAAGCTGAAGCTTGGGTCAACATATCCACCTTCCTGCAACCTCGATCGAACCTTGGGGCGATCCGGAGCTACGCCTTGCGCACATCAAGTCCTCCCCCAAGCTACTCAAACCCCAATGGTTTCTACTCGCAGCCGCACTAACTCGGGCTCGTCATCCGCCGCTGAGCTTCCGCAGAAGCGCTCGGCTACCGCGGACGCGTCCAAACGCCCCACCAAAAAGTCTTCGACTCCCAAGGCAGCCGCCAGCGATCTGGCCGTGGGCAAGCCCGTGACTGTGAACGTGACGCTTGTCAACCAGGAAGAGAAGGAGGTCGTGATCGCCGACACGTTCCGCGACCAGGGAGTCGTTTTCTTCATGTACCCTCGCGCCAACACTCCCGGCTGCACCAAACAGGCCTGTGGTGAGTCGACGAAAAGATTCCTCCGCTTCGAGACGTGCTTAAAATGTTAAACCAGTCAACGGACTCACTTTGTTTTCGGTTTCCTCTGTCTGTAGGCTTCCGGGACAACATCCAGACCATCAAGGACGCTGGCTTCACGGTCTACGGCCTGAGCGGCGACTCGCCTAAGTCACTGGCCAACTGGAAGACCAAGCAGAGTCTGCCATTCGACCTACTGAGCGACCCGGAGCACAAACTTATTTCGTACTTCGGCAGCTCACTGCCAGGCAAGAAGGTGCAGCGCTCGCACGTCGTCGTCCTCAAGGGAGGCGTCGTGGGCGAGATCGCCGCCAAGGTGTCTCCTGCAGACAGCGTCAGCCGCGCCGTCGAGTTCGTCAAGAAGAGCAGCGGAACAGAGGCCCCCAAGCAGGAGGAACCCACCAAAGAAGAAGAGCCCACGGACTCCGAGAAGCTCGCGGAGGGCAACACCGTGAACTTCGACGTCGAGCTCCAGACGGACTCCTCGGCGACGGTGAAGGTTCAAGATCTGTTCAAGACTCGTGGCGCCATCTTCTTCATGTACTCGAAGGCGGACACGCCCGGTTGCACCACCCAGGCTTGTGGCTATAATGACAATTTGGAGGCGATCAACGCCGCCGGATTCGACGTCTACGGCCTGGGCGCCGACTCCCCCGCCGAGCTTCTGGCGTGGAAGGAGTCGCAAAAGTACAAGTACACGTTCCTATCGGACCCGAAGCATCATCTCATTGGCTACTTCGGCAGCTCCATCAACGATGGGACGCGTGTGGAGCGCTCGCACGTGATCGTGCTTCCGGGCGGCAAGGTCGGCCAGATCGAGCATAACATCTCGCCGCAGGACAGCGTGACCAAGGGCCTCGAGTTCGCCAAGAGCCACACCGTCGACGCGGCCAGCAAGCTGTAAGTCAGTGAATTAACGGGTGACGCCGTCAGTTGGTGCTGAAGCTTATACGCTACGCCGTATCCACGATGCACAAAACACAAAACTACTATCCTTTTGCCATTTTTTTTATATCGGAACGTGCTTACTTTTACATCTTTGCATTAATCCAATAATGTATTCACAAGTGACGAAAGTGTTGTCATGGAGATTACGCCGTTGGTGTCGACCAAAGCGTGGCGGGGGTCTGAGTCGGA